ATGGGTCCGTTTGAAAGTGACCACCGTGGCTCATGTGGTCCAACCTCCCTGCTCACTCAGGGTCATCCCAGAGCACATGGCACAGGATTGTGTTCAGACGGTTCTTCAATACAAGCACCTGTGGAGGGAGACTCCACAACCTCTCTGGGCAATCCGTTCCAGACCTGCCTTTATTACTTATAGTATTTATATTATTTGTATTCCACTCGTCTTTTGCCGTGTGCAGTTTTTATAAGCTCCGATGCGATTACTTTCATGTTCCTGATGGAAGGCTGCTTTGGTGGAAGTGGATGTTCTCCGGTGCGGGGCTCGGGGCAGGAGCTCCCAGCCCCGAGCTGTGCCGGCGGGCTCTCAGAGCAGAGCTCAGCCGGGCAGAGCGCACGGATGGCGGGGCGCTCCGAGCAGCGCACGCTCCGCGGGCCCGGGCCCGGCTCTGCGGGGCGCTGCGGTCGGTGTCTGTGGAGCGGCCCCGCGGCTCGCGGAAGGGCGGCTCGGCCGGGCGGGCACCGCGCTGCCGCGCCTCACGCAGCGCTCAGCCCGGCCCCGCTCCGCCGGGCGCTGCCGCCGCCCCTCCCGTGAGCTCATCCCGCCGCCGCGCCTGCCCAGCCCGGAGGAGCCCGGAGCAGCCCGGGCTGGGCCGCGCGCGGAGCCCGAGGCGAGGGGCCGGGCCCGCCCTGGGTGAGACCTCCCTGCCTCTTCCTCTCCTTCCCTTCTTCGCCCCGCGCCCGGCGGGCCGGGGGTGCGCGGGGTCGGCGGGCGCGGAGCCGCCGGTGAAACTTTCTGGCGGAGGAACGTGTGCGGGCATGTCGGGCAGGCACGGGCCGGGGCCGGGGCCGGGGCAGGGGCAGGGGCAGGGCGCGGAGGGGCGCGGCCGGGCCCAGCGGGGTGGCCCACGGCTCGGGGGTGGCCGGGGCCGGTCAGGTCCGGGGGAGGCGCTGCCCGGGCGGGGCCCGGCCGGGATTTCCGCCTCCCCGGCCCGCACTGTCGCGTTTCGGTGACTGGGGCGGTTTTCATGCCTTTACCAGTAAACATCTGGGGGGAAGGAAAAAAAAAAAAAAAAAAGCTGCTTTCTGCAAAACTTGGTTTCTTGGTGGGGCTTGGTTTCGGTATTAGAAGGCGAGGAAGAGGCGCTGGGAAGAGGCACACGGCCCGGGCAGAGCCGGGCTGCGGGGTCGGCCGTGCGCGGGCAGAGCCGGGGGTGGGATGGGGTGGGATGGGGTGGGATGGGATGGGATGGGGTGGGGTGTAACACGTGCGTGTCTGTGGGCAGCAACCTTGTTTTGACGGCTGGAGCAGAAGGGCCTGCCCTAGAGGTCATCAGTGTGCCTGCTGGAATCTCAAGCGTTAAATGATAAAACGATAACTTGATTAGTTTTTAATATGTGAGTTACTGGTAGTGTATAGTAACAGTGTATTTTAAAGCGGACTTTCTTAAGCTTTCTGATTTCTCAGTATTTGTTTGCCATAGTCTCATAATGCATATTTGTTGGATGGGGGACTGGGTCCTGACTTACTGTTTTCAAAAGTAGAACGTGGCTGGAGACATCTTAGTGTGAGGTTGGACCCCGGGGATCAGGGAGGTTTAGCTGCCCCTGGGTGTGCTGCAGAATGTGCTCCCTGCCCGTGGGCCCCGCTCTGCAGCCCCGCGGGGCCGGTGGCAGTGCACCCCCTGCTCTGCCTCACATGGCGGTTCCTGACGAAGGCAGTGCTTTTGCAGCATTTAGAAAGCTAACAGCTGAGGATGTGGGAGGCTTACTTTGGGCTTCTGTGACTGCTGGGTGTAAAAACAGTTGGCAGGAGGTTTGTTCACTGGTCTAGAGTATTTTAAATGTTTTACTCATCCAGCCTACTTCAGAGTTTTGCAGGATTATTCAGTATGTGCAGAAGTCCTATGTTACCTCGTATTTTTGATAGCTGTTGCTTAAAAATAGCCTGATACTTGAAAATACCAGGGAATTAGGGAAATAAGTGTGATGCCCTGGATCCTAGAAAATTTCCTCCCGCTGTTGTTTAATATACAGTGGCCAAAAATGAACTTTTCCCATTTGTTCTGATCTGCTGTGTAAGTCCCATTCAAGTGAAAAATGGTAGTATATTATTAAATAGTGCCAGTGAGCAAGGTAAACACAAGTATTGCTTCTTTTTGCCACTGCTCGGATAATGTATTCAGCGCTTCATTTATGCGGATGCTCTGAAGTTCTGGTTGCCTTGCTTTCTCAGTGTAGCTAACCATTGGAATGTCCAAATGGTGATGAATTATATCTGCTTTAGAGCCAAAACATATTTGGTTCATGGCCAGAGTTGCTCAGCTTCCCATAAGAGCATGTAGGAAAAAAGACATTTTGTGTGTATGACCACAGTCCTGAAGTTGATGCCATGGCAACTTTGTGATCTGAATTATATGTTGGAAGGCAGCTGAGCAGTCTTTGCAGAGGTGTTTGTTTTTCTTTAGCTGAACTTCTTCCTCTTATCAAGATTAAACCTTTCTTTGAAGGTGAAAGATTATTTAGCACTTTCAAACTCCTGTGCATGAAAGAACATCAGCCTCATCTGTTAGTTATTTATAATGACACCTAAAATACGTGTAAATTGTAATTTATATCCATTATTTTTAAATTAAGGTTTATATGTAGGGATGCTGTTTCGACTAAAAAGTGGTATTTCAGGCTCTCTCAGGAACTAGATCTCAATGTTTTCCAGAAAAATAGATAAAGGTCAGCTTTAGCTTTTGTGTGTGGGAAAGTCTGAGAAAACTGGGTTAGTTCAAATCTTTTTGTTGCTTTCAGCTCCCAAGACTTGATGTGGAGGTTGGAGAGTTTTTTTATCACAGAGCTGTGGCAATGGAAAAAAAAATCGCAGCATATGGCCTAACAAATGTGTAAGGTCTTATTTCTTAACAATATGTTTGTGTATAGGAAGCACCACTGTTAGAAAACTGACCTCTGAGTATTGAAGGCCTAGTGTAACACCAGGCTGAAGAAACCCCAGAAGCAACCTCTGGAACATCTCGTGATCCTCACTGCATTTGGTTTTGTGTTTAACTTTAGTTTGATAAGTGCATCTTTTTTTTAAATTTATTGTTATAAGTTTGTTTTTGTGGAGCTTTAACCTCTCTGATCTTATCCTGAAGGGAAGTAAATAAAGGGATCAGTTGCTCATTAATGCAGAATACCTATTGTGTGGTCTAATGTTAATATGTCTGTCTCTTACTATCCTTTCCTTTTAAAATTCATTGTTTAGCATGACTGAATTAATCCCTTAGTATTCATTGTACTTGAGAGGTTCTGTAGAGGTATTTCAGCATGCTTAATTGACTAGATTATTTATCTACGTATAAAACTGTAGAGCTCAGGGGATGGTCTCTGTGCTGTGTTTGGGCTCTCCACAGATATTCTGGAGTCTCCTGTGGTGTCCATCTCCTGCTCACTGGGGTGTAGGACAGTCTGAACTGGAGCACAGGTTTTATTTCACTCAGTTTGTGCTTCAGTCAAACAGGGTGCTTTTGGTCTCCTTTCATAGCTAAAATGTCCTCTTGCTCCCCCTCCCTGTCTTCCAGCTTCATGAGCCTTCAGAGGCTTATCCAGTGTAGTGATTTCACATTTTTGTGCTGTGTAGGTGATACATTGTTGTGTAGGCCTTTTGCATCCATCGTTGCCACTCCTGCTTCTTGAAGTACATGCATTCTAGTTCGTGGAATTACTTCAGCTTCTAAAAGCCCCGTTTCTCTTGCTGTGTTTCCAGAATTTTGTTTTTGCTCCCCCCCTCACCAGGAGGAGGGCTGCTAAGCCATAGGCTTAATCTGTAAAGGTACTTTGTTACTAGAATATTCGGCTTTGCAATGTGGTAGCTTCAGTGCTTGCCCTTGGTGTGTAAAGTATGGAGGAGATGCTCCTGTGCCTGCGGGATGTTCATCAGGGTGTGGGAGCCAAGGCCCAGGCAGCTGTGCCTGTGGGAGGTGTTTCTCCACTGGGTGACTGGGAGCATTGCTGGCACAGGGCTTTGTTTCCTGAGGTGCTGTCACCAGTTTAGTATTTCACATATTTTCTCCTCTCGATCTGGAACACTCATTTATAATAAGGGTGCTGGTGTGAAAGCAGAAGTTCCACTGGCTTTTGGAGTGACCAGCTGTGCAAAGCAGCCAGCTTGGAGGATGTGAGGTGTCTCACTGGTGTCGTGTCCCACGGGACAAGTCCTTGGGTGCTGGCAGAGAAGAGTTTGCTCTCAGCCTCATAGCTGGTGTGGCACCTCAGCCTGGGGTTCTTGCTGGGCTGCAGAATTGATGTTCGGTGATGGCAGCACTGAGTTCTGCCACAGAAATTTAAATGTCTGAAAGAAATTTACTTTTAAATTACTTAGTGAAATTTAAATGTCTGTGGTCAAGTCAAAAGCTGCCTTCACAGTCTTGATGCTGTTGAAGTTGGTGGCAGGGCTCACGGAATTATGCCTGTCTGACCTTTTTCTGTAAATACTCTGTGTCAGTAGGTGCAGGGGTTATGGTTTGCAGTGTTTGTGAGGTGACTGACTTGGTGAGGCACTCTTTATGAAGCATTTATCAGGCACTTTTGCAATCTAAATGGCCAAAATAATTTTGGGAATGCAGATGGTCTTGAAGTCATCCAGTTCTTCCTCATGTGTGTTAGGGAATTCAGCTGTATCTATATGTGTATGAAATTGGAAAACTATATGCAGCTTAAAGTTCTAGTGATCTTAAGCACATAATAAATATGTGCAATGTATAAAATATATAAAAGTTACAGATATGTATTTTGAATATCAGAGTGTTTTTTTTATCAGCTGCCCATAATTCATGGTGATGCAAGTCGGAACTTGTGAATTATCATTAAATAATTAAATACAGATTTCCTCCATGTTTTAGAAACAGGATGGTCTTAAAAAAGGAAAAAACTCCACAGCCTGCAGTAGAATTGTTCGCAGTCTCATTTCGCTCTGCAGCAGGATTGCCCCCTGATTAGTGATGCAAGTGTTAGTGGAATTTATTTTTAAAAAAAGACACCTGGTGGCCCAGCTCTGTCAGAATGACCCCATGTAGGGGGTGTGCCAGGTGACAGTGGCACATAGCCCGCCTGACAAGAGGTGTCACAGCTGTCAGGGCTGGAGGGACCCTGAGGGTGGCACAGGACGAGCCGTGGGCACAAGGACGGGGACAGTGGGGAACCCTGGGGGTGGCACAAGCCATAGGCACAAGGACAGGGACAGTGTGGGATCCTGAGGGTGGCACAAGCCATAGGCACAAGGACAGGGACAGTGTGGGATCCTGAGGGGGGCTCAGGACGAGCCATGGGCACAAGGACAGGGGCAGGGTGGGACCCTGAGGGTGGCACAGGACGAGCCGTGGGCACAAGAACAGGGACAGTGTGGGATCCTGAGGGGGGCTCAGGACGAGCCATGGGCACAAGGACAGGGGCAGGGTGGGACCCTGAGGGTGGCACAGGACGAGCCGTGGGCACAAGAACAGGGACAGTGTGGGATCCTGAGGGGGGCTCAGGACGAGCCATGGGCACAAGGACAGGGGCAGGGTGGGACCCTGAGGGTGGCACAGGACGAGCCGTGGGCACAAGAACAGGGACAGTGTGGGATCCTGAGGGGGGCTCAGGACGAGCCATGGGCACAAGGACAGGGGCAGGGTGGGACCCTGAGGGTGGCACAGGACGAGCCGTGGGCACAAGAACAGGGACAGTGTGGGATCCTGAGGGGGGCTCAGGACGAGCCATGGGCACAAGGACAGGGGCAGGGTGGGACCCTGAGGGTGGCACAGGACGAGCCGTGGGCACAAGAACAGGGACAGTGTGGGATCCTGAGGGGGGCTCAGGACGAGCCATGGGCACAAGGACAGGGGCAGGGTGGGACCCTGAGGGTGGCACAGGACGAGCCGTGGGCACAAGAACAGGGACAGTGTGGGATCCTGAGGGGGGCTCAGGACGAGCCATGGGCACAAGGACAGGGGCAGGGTGGGACCCTGAGGGTGGCACAGGACGAGCCGTGGGCACAAGAACAGGGACAGTGTGGGATCCTGAGGGGGGCTCAGGACGAGCCATGGGCACAAGGACAGGGGCAGGGTGGGACCCTGAGGGTGGCACAGGACGAGCCGTGGGCACAAGAACAGGGACAGTGTGGGATCCTGAGGGGGGCTCAGGACGAGCCATGGGCACAAGGACAGGGGCAGGGTGGGACCCTGAGGGTGGCACAGGACGAGCCATGGGCACAAGGACACGGGGCAGTGTGGAGTGTGGCCATGGGAGCGTGTCGCTGCAGGCAGGAGCTCGACTGCTGAATCTCCTTGTTCCTGAGTCGTTTCTTACCTTTCTGCCTGCCTGTGCCCCTGTCTAGCTCAGACAAATCTGTAATTAAAATATTCAAGAGTTGCAATGTTTGCAGCAAAGCCTGAGGACTTTGTGAGAAGCCTTTCTGGCGTGATGCAGGCTGTGCTGAGTGCTCTCGTTCTGATGGCCAGGCACCCTTGGCTGCAGTGGAGCCTCGGCCTGCCCCGTGGGTGTCACTAGCTGTCACCTACACCTGCTGAGCAGAGGGAGCTGGTGTCACCTGTGCCTTGGAGCCCTCAAAGTGCATTTTCAGAAGCGTGTAGGATGAGAGGGTGAAGGGCTGCTGCTTGTTTGCTGCATATTTCATATATTTGATAATTAACTGCTTTAAGACCAAAGGATTTTCTAAAATGTTTGCTGCACTATGCTGCAGTTGTGTATATGGTATAGGTTGGTTTTTTTTGTGTTGTTTCTATTTGCTATTGGTGTTTTCTTTGGTTTATTGTTTGGAGGTCTATTGCTTTCTTTTTTATTTTTTTAAGACTCTGTCTTAGTCATGGTCAAATTTAGCTCCAGCAGGAGGGAAGCTGGAGCTTGTTAGCACACAGGAAACGCCGTGGCAGGAGGTTTTTGATGTGTGTGTTTGTGTGTAAATGTGAACTCTACAGCCCCATGATGGAATCGGGCCCGTGGACCTTTGGGTAGGTCACAGTGGTTTTACATCTTTAAATGTTGTCTTAGATTCTGGTGGAACTTCGCTACATTAAGTAGTAAATATGTCTTGTCAAAAACTGGTAGTTTTATGTTAATTCCAAAGCTATCACTCTTAAAACAGCAGAGGTGTTTAATTGCTGAAAAGACAGTTCAGATTTTATCTGCTTCAGCTTTGTGTTATCTAGAAAAATACTAGAATTTCTGTAGTCTAAAGATTGTGCTTTTCTCTTTTCAGTCATCTACAATTAAACTAATCTATTTCTGTCTTAGCAGGTGTCCCTTCCTTAGGATCTATATTTCTGACTTCAACAATTAAGTATTTGAACAATATCCAAGTAAGAGTAAATAGAAGCACAATATAACATTTGCTTTTTGAAATTTAAATGAGGTGGAAGTTGGTAGAGGCTTGGATTTTTTCTTTTTCTGTGTTGTGTGGGTTTTTTTTCTTCTTCTGTGTTGTGTGGGGTTTTTTGTTGCTTGGGTTTTTTTGTTGTTGCTTTTGAACAAGAATGACAAAACACAAAATATTCTTAGTGTGAGTTTTAGGGAGACTGGTTTTGTGCTTCACACCAGAAATGCCTTTGGGTTCAGTTGATTATTTAATTAATTTGCTTCAAGGTCTGTTTTACACTGGGCTAAATACCACTGAGCTCACAAAGGGATTTTTTTTATGTTAGTAAGGACTGAGTTCCTGGATTTTTCTACAAAATTTCCTAGCAATTGAAAGTTTGAAGAGGACTATTGCTGCCACAAAACGTAGGCACGGTTGGATAAAATTTTCAGCACTTCCTAACTACTGATACAGAATGTTTATGTCATGCAAGAATTCCTTTGAAAAGTTAGGAGACATTGTGACAAGACATGAAGGGAAGACTTTGCTTTACTCTTAGATAAACTATACTTGGCAAAGGTAGAATGGATTGTGCCTTCTAGCATGATGTACTGATCTGTTGTGCAGTTTCAGAATTCAGTAGTGCTGGTTTCAAAACTCTAGAAATACAGAGCTGGTGTGTATGTTTTTGTTTATTTATTCTCTGTCTAAGGCATTCTTTGTGCCACTGTGGTATGTCACCAGATATTTTCTGTGAGTTTGCAATAAGCCACCCAGTGATTGATGGCAGCAGCTTATGAAGTGTTTTATACTCATTTTGAGGTACTGGGCATAGTTTGAAAGTCTGAGGGGAAAAAAAAGACTTAATTAATATTGGTTTTTTTCGCTGACCAAAAGTGTTGCACTTTGTCCTTTAAAGACAATAAGGAAAGAAGAACAGAAGTGACATAAAATTATTTTTTTCCTGCTGAAGTTCAAAGCTTGGTAAAAGTCTGCACCAGAAGAATCTGCTGAATGGTTTGCCAGGGAGGACTTGTTTCTCTTTTTGCTGCTCCCATGCCCATGCAGAAGGTTTCCCCAAGGCTCCTGCACTCTGTGTGCAGTGTGTGCCACCAGAACTGCCTTGGGTCTCAGTGGGCATCTGGGCTTCTCCAGAAAGCTCCTTTTGTGCATCCCAGCCATCTGCCTCACTAGCATTTGAGGAATCTCACACTGTCCCGCAATCTGGTAGAAAAAAGTTTGTTTTCTACCTGTTTCCATCATCTCTGCTAATAGGAAAAACAGGTGCTTTTCTTCTCTGTCAGCCTCGCTTGAGCCTCCTTTCTTCAGTTCTCAGCCTTCCCCAGGAGAAAAACTGAAACAAAAACTGAATTTTGTTCCTCCGCAGTATTTCTTCTGTTGGCAGGATTTTGACCTGAGTGAGTTGTTGTGGGTGTTGCATGGCTTCTCTTGGTGTATCAGTGAACTCGGCCCATGTGGTGTACAGTGCCTTGTAGCATCTCAGCTTAAGGGGAGGCAGTAGGCACCGTCTTAGCTAACTTGAAAGATTTACACAGACTTAAGATCTTAATGAATAATTACTTTTTTTTTTTTTTTGAGTATAGAAGTTTGTGTTCCACTAGTCAAATTCTGGTTGTGAGGATTTAAATTTATTTGGTTTGGACACTTGCCTGTGGAAGGAATGCTTTTTGGCATCTAAATTAGAAACTATATTGGTGCTTGACTGTTTAATTACTGAAAAGAACAGGACGACTGTAAAATTATAATAAATAAGAGCTTGCTGGGTATTTAATATTTTTGGTAAGAGCATGTAGGATCTTGTCTGCACCAGGGAGTTATTGCAGACTGGGGGAGGGTGTGAATGTGAAGCACTTTTCCCCCTTGTATAGACAAGCCTTTAATTTTTCTTGAGTGAACTCTGGGAGGTTCTGGGTATTCCATATTCTTGTCCTTAAATTGAGCTCTGCAGGGGCTGGTGAGGAGATAGTTATACTGCAAGCCTGTGTCTGGTTCTTGTGAATAATCTCCCTGGTTTGGGGCCTGTGTGTGTAAAGAGAGCTCACCCATGCCAGGCTGGGGCTCAGGGGAGGCCTTGAGTGAGATGCCATTGGGGCAGGAGTGTGCAAACAGCCAATATTGATGCTGTGCAAGGTCTCACTGGGGCAGGAGTGTGCAAACAGCCCATGGTGATGCTGTGCAAGGTCTCACTGGGGCAGGAGTGTGCAAACAGCCCATATTGATGCTGTGCAAAGTCTCACTGTGGCAGGAGTGTGCAAACAGCTGATATTGATGCTGTGCAAGGTCTCACTGGGGCAGGAGTGTGCAAACAGCCCATAGTGATGCTGTGGCAAGGTCTCTCAATGCCACTTTATTGTACACTGAAATGAGAAGCGATTCAAGGCAAAAAGAATTGGGAGAACACAGATGTTTAAGTGTTTTTGTGGTTACACTACAGAAGAATGCCTGAGCCTGGTCCATAAAGTAACACAAGCAGGTAATTAAAAATGTAAAGTTTACATTTCACAAGAGAGAAAAAGGCAGCATCCCAGGATCTGATGTGGAAAGCAGGGAGAGTATTATTTTTGTTTTGCCTCATTCTGATGAGCGAGATTTCAGGAAATAGCCAAGCTAATTGAACAGTTTGTTTTGATTCTGGGGAATGGCATTCCTTCCTTCTGTATCTGCTGTGAGATCATTCCTTTTTCCTACATCATCCTGTGTAAGCACAGAGAAGATGAATTGCATCTGGCACAGTGCAGCAGAGCACAGGGCTGACCCCACTGGCCCTCTTGTAAAGGCTGCACCTGTATGACCTGGAGAAAACTGGGCTTTGCTCCTCCTAGGTGAAATGGAAATAAGATTGTTCCCCTTCCTGCAGGCTGCCGTGAGCTGTCATGTGTTCTGAGGTGCTCTGAGGTTGAAGAGGGAGTATATATAGATACCCAACATACTTTCTGCATTATGTGACTTTAATGTCTGTTCTTTAGGTATCCTCAAAAATGTTAATGTTTCATTCCAAAATTTGCTAATTTATTTTGTCCACAAAGATATATACCATTCTTCCTCTGTGTGTGTGCTAGTGTTTCCTGGATAGTCCAGTATGTTTGAGCTTTGTGTTCCTTGTGTTGCTGCTCATTCCCACATTTTAGGGTCACTTAGCACTTGCTATTCTTTTAGGGTTGCATGAGGTACTGTCATGTTATATTAATTTTTATTAACTGTCTAATCCAAAACTAGCACAGGGATCAATTCAGACAGTTATGTTCTCTGAAGGAAGTAATTTTGCTTTGTATTTTTGGTAGAGGTTTCCAAGATTTTCTTGTGTGACTTGCCCTGACCAGGGGGCTGGACCAGATGACCTCAAGAGGTTGTTTCCAACCTTAACCATTGTGTGACTCTACCCTAGTCCAAGAAGTCCTGATGAGTCCTAATGTTTCCTTTCTGTCATTTTGGATATTTCAAGCATGCATATTGCTCTGCCTCTGGTAACTAAAGCTAGGGATAGTTATCCTGAGGAAGAAAACATCAGTATCAATTTGATGTCAGACTAGTGTATTTTAAAAGCTACATTAAAACCTTCAAAAGTGTTTAAATAGTAATATATATGTTCATCTCTGCCTGTGAAACAGGAAGTAAGTAACATGTTTGTGTACAGATTTTGGATAGAGCTCTGCATTAGTTTTCTGGAAAAATTGAGTGGCTGTGATTCCCAGCCATTTCAAGATCAGGTATTTTGTGATTTGGGTTTACAGAAAACATATTGTCCCAGAATTTGTAAGGGTAGCTGACATGGGGGAGAAAAAACTGACACCAAATATGGGTGCATGTTCTGGTCTATGTTTAAATAGAGATCTGTAGTGTTAGGAGAAAACTATTAGTAAAACAGGAGAAA